TTGCGGATCATATCCTGCAGCAGCTGAATGCCCTTGCGTTGGACCGATCCTCCCTGTCGTCGTCTGCCCAGAGAGAAGGAATACATACTGAGGAAGCTCAAGTAGATGTGTATAAGAGACAGCTCTCTCTCTCTCTCTCTCTCTCTCTCTCTCTCTCTCTCTCTCTCTCTCTCTCTAAATAAGAGCGGCAACTTGAGATTTCATCATTGAGGTTTCTGGCACCAGGTATTTCAGAATTACTTCATGCTATTCAGCTAGTTCCTTCCAGATTCGTACTCAGGTCTGTAATACTCTATATCTCGACAGGTCATGGGTGTACCAACTTAGCGAAGCCCCGTTGTGTCTTAATTTGTGCGTTTATCCTTGTATTGCAATTCTACACAACCTGTTTTTTTTCCAGATTTTTGGATTTCTTTCTTCCTTTTTTCTTTTTTCTTCTTTGGCGCTGGGGCAGCCAGGGACCCTGCCGGGGGGGGTCATGCCCGGCCGGTCACCCGGGCATGTTTCCGGACACAACTTGTGTGCCTGGCTGCCCGGGAAAACGGCCTACATATACGATCATTATTGCCTGTTTTGGGGGCAACTATGAGTCTAGATACTGCACTAATGACCGTACATTGTATTCGGGTGACGACGGTAGGCTCCTGTCCAGTTATCTTGTTTGAATGCTCCACTGACCGATCTCTTGTTGACTTGTCTGGTAAATGTGCCTGGTGGCAGACCCTAGAAATTGTCGCTACCTCGTCTGGCGTCCGCGAGCTGATAAACTCTGGCATTGCACTCCAGGATGCCGTCTCCGTGGTACAGCTGCTTTCCGACACAATGTGTAAGTTGCTGATTAGTCTGCAAACCTACCCCTCGTCCTACTGTAGCACGCACTTTGATGGTCCTATCAGTTCCTTTCATGTTTGTATGCTCCTGCTGGCTATGAATCCCCTTGAGCGGTGACCGCACCGGCCGGGATCGCGGTTACCAGTCATCGCCGGAGGGTCCAGGTCATGGGGGGAAGGAAAAAAAAATAGTAAAAGTTGTCCAAAAAAATCTGGAAAAAAAAAATGATATGCAGAAAAATAAACTCAACAACTCTTGCCGCAGGGTCACATCCAAATTCCTTACCAAATTTGAAAGAAAAAAAAAAAGAAGCAAATTTTCCATTGTTTTTCGGAGTTTTTTTTTTTTTTTTTTAACAGGTCCTTATGGCCCTGGCTCCATATACATTCTGGGGAGCGTCAGTCTGGTTCTCATGCTTGCATGTTCCTCCTGCTGGTCCCTTGTCGTGCTTACATGCTCTCTCTGGTCGTCCACTATCTCTTCCATTACCATCCTCAGACCCCCAAATTGAAAGTGAATGGTGAGTCGGTGACCCCTTTTAAACCCTTCTGTTAGTTTGCAGTGTGCAGTGCCATATCAACTACATAGGGTGGGGATCGTTTCCTTCGTTTATGGTTCGGCATGTCGGAAACGCCCATTGCTACAAGGAAGAATTAGCAAGAAATAGCAAGAAAATGATTTTCTTCTGTAAACTTCATGTTTCAAGGGGCCTCTCTCACAATGACACAAAATGTCAAAAATTCACAAAAAATAAAAATACAAATAAAAATAAAAATCATAGCAACAGTCCGGACGTCTGGACCGGAATCCAGACGGTCCAGTTGTCTGGGTATGGATCCGGTCTCTGGTCCGGTAGGTCTGGATTGGGCCCAATTTTGAAAATTTCGATTTTTGTTTTTTTTATGGGGCCGTAGGATGTTTTTCGTGTCCTAGGCCGCCCCCAAAAAAAGCCCCCGGTATTTTTGGCTGTTTCAGGCCCTACCGGAGGCCGCCAGACGCTTCCAACAGTTACCTCTGCTGTTGTACTACGCTGGTAGTTCACCGGATGAGGACGAGTCGGATTCTGAAAATGAAGCGCTGGCTGCCAAGCGCCACAGAACATCAACCTAGAGAGAGAGAGAGAGAGAGAGAGAGAGAGAGAGAGAGAGAGAGAGAGAGATGATTTTGGTCAGATCTGAGATCCTGGCTAAGATCTGGTCCTGACCAGATCTCAGATCTGTTCTTACGCAGATCTAAATAACTTAACAGTTTAAATTTTCAATTTTCAATTTTTCATATGAATATGAATTAGAAAGTCTAACTTCAAAGTTCAAAGTTCCGTGTTTCTCTGAGTTTCGTACTCTTTTCTGAAGTGACTTGGGATTGTTCTGCTGAGAACTGGTTTGTTAATTGTGAATTTCATACAGTGCCTAGGTGTGTTGCGTTTATGGGCGGATGATACCTGTACTTGTCGAAAACAGTCTAAGTTCATTTCTATAATCTATTTCCATTGGGTCCTCGTGCATGCGTTCATTTCAGCAACTATAAAAAAGAACGCTTCTTGCACAGATGATGTGTGTGGCTAAGAATGTGTGTTTGAGGTTGGATGTCTTTTTTTTTTTTTTTTTTTTTTTTTTGGTTGGTGTGTTTTCATACCATGTTGTATATCTGTATTATTTTCCGTTGCACAGCGGATGGCAGGGTGTCGATGGAGATTGCAAACCGGTTGCGTTTATCCGTCCTGAGAATCATCGGCACCGTTCACGCTTCAATATCGCGAACGCAAAGGAAGATCAGCAGCTTTGTCTTGCCGTCATACAGGTCAGTCGGCAGAGTATTTTTTCCTTTTCCTTTTCTTTTTCTTCTGGAAAGGTTATGGTGTTCGCCGATTTTGATCAGGATCCGCACTCTCATGATTCATTTACTAAATCGACCAAAAMAAAAAAAAAAAAAAAAAAAAAAAAAAACGGTTAGTCGACCAACTTTCATGTGTACGATTCGGCCACAGGGGCTTTTGGTATCAGCTGACGAAGCGTTATCCTGCGAGAGAGATGCCGAAAAGTGCAGAAAACACATAGGTCACCCACCACACTCGTCCCTCACACACTTGTCTCTGCTAGTCAAAGGACTTTGTGATGTAATGATGTAATCCCTTCCTCTACAGGTCTTGTGCAAACTGGTTGCACTAAGTGAAAACCTGGAGAGTTAGCGGAACACGGATAGTCCGGCGCCCAGACACAGGGTTGAAGAGGTGTCTCCCCTCTCCTCCCTTCACTGCTCCTGCTCAGTCAATCCCCCCTGGCTGTCCAGGGCAATCAATGCTAGCAGGCTTCTGAACACTCCCAGATCATACTCAGATGTTACCTAGATGTTATCCAGCAGGAAAACGGGTCCGGCGTCCCCGCAGGTACAGCAGCCGCCTGGGTGTTCCGGATCTATTGTTGGGGACGCTGGACCCGTTTTCTAGCAGGTACAGCTCCCCACCCAGCAATAGATCTGGAGCGACCAGATGGCTGGCTGGGTAGGGATGCTCTTACCACCCTCTGCTAGCAGTCAGTTGGGCTTTTTCAAACAAACAAACAAAAAAAGTGGAAAATCTCTGTGCTGGTCCCCGGGCGGCTCGGCTGGGGGAAGGTCGCCCGAGTGCCCTCTATCGTACCATTGGTATCAGAGCGGATTCTACTTGCTGGCGAGTGTTGACTTCGCTGCCCCACCACTTGGGGTTAGGGTTGGCCAAGTGGAGGGAAGTAGCGCAGTGTGGTATAGTGAAGCTGCCCCCACCTGGTTAGGTCGTGTTGGGTCGACACTCGACCCGACCAAGTTGCTTGAGTGTGAGTTGGGGTTTCGAGACACTTCAAGAAGACTTTGTGCGACAATGTGTGAGGAGGCGACAGTGAGAGGCACTCACACCTGGAATGTGATCTAAGGGAGACACTTGGTGACTTTAGGGCTTCCCTCAAGTAGGCAAGCTTGAGGGAAGTAGCCATTATGCATTGACAGACTAACAAAATGCTACGTCGATCTTCAACGACGGTGGGGGATCCGGCGTTGTACTTTGGTGTTGGAGTCAGACCCTCCTAGTAGATAGGACACTAGTGTAGGGGTAGCGTTAAAAGGGTCAGGAACACCATATGAGAGGGGGGTGAGTTCTACTTTATCTCGAAGCTCAGGCCACTCAGGTAAGTGCCGTGCACCTACGGGATGCCCATGTGTGTGTGCACGCTTGGTATTGATTGTCCTGTTGGGGTTATTCTCGGTTTCGTTTCCTACTACTCTATGGTCTTGATTGTGTGAATGAGAATGCAAACTGCTTTCTCGGGGATGCCATACCTGTGAAAATGCTTCCCGAGTGATATGCTTACGTACCTTGTCAAATTGTGTACATGTGCCAGCGCGTATTACTGGTGCAACTCTCATTTTGATGATTCCATACATCTGCTTCTGAACTTCTGAAGTGTCTTTTTTTTTTTTTTTTCCTCTTTTTCGATAACCGATATGTTTTGTTGACGCAAAATGTCGTCTTTTGATTCCATGGCTTTTTGACAAATTTTGCAGCAACTTGCATCGTATTCTTTGTTGGGCGGGCTCTGCGGCATCTGCTTCTCAATTCGCTGAAACGACAACAGTGGAAACGCTGAAGCTCACATTGCAAATCATTTTGAAATCTCCACCTCGTACCAATGAGATGAGTCAGGTAAAACTTAATCCCTTATCACTAGACTAGATATAGCCGAAGCCGCTTCCTTGCTCCAAAAACCATCGTTCTTCCGTCCCACGCTATTCTTTTTTTGAATTTTTTTTTTTCTTCCCCTGTTCACACAGTTTTCAATCAGGTCATTCAGGTGTATGTTTGTCAGGCTGATGTTTTTCTTTTCTTTTCTTTTTTTCTTGGGAAAATTGTTGAAATGCCCCCGAAAGTTGGGGTATTTCGTCAGGACACCACTGAAAGGCATTGCTATGTCCAAATGCCCCTATGACAGTAGTGAAACTTGGAAGAATACCCCATTTGCCAATTTGACCTGTCATCTTATGCATATACCCCTACCAGGCCCTGGTCGACTTGTCTATATGCCCCTGTATTTAGGCCGTTGAACACTGCAGATTGCAAAAGAAATGCACGGGCCCCTGCAGCCGAGGGCCAGGGCATATGGCAAAGTTGCTGATGAGTGGGACAGGGGCAGATGCAGGAG